CATCATCCTGCCAGGTACCCATTTATACTCCTGGGTGGAGAGAGGCAAACGTAAGTAGAGTGCCTTGCGCAACGACAAAGCAATGCGACAGGCGTCATTCTCCAACTCCCCGTCTGTCAACACCTTACACGCCGTGCCACGCACTCCGCAATTTGAGGTAATTTATCAACTTTCGCCATTTAGCATGGTAATACTCCTATGAGATTTACATTTTTTTACAAAGAAATAGAAAAGGGCATGCACAATTTACGTCCCCACATGCCCCCACCCCCCCCCCCCAAAAAAAAATTCACCACTGAATTTGTATCACCATCATAAGTGTATATTAAAATGAATACAGGTAAATACCAATAAAAAAATGCCAATCACAGCAATTTAGTGATTGTAATTTCTTCATAAAAAACACTGGTTATCTTGACATGCTCCTGAGCCAATTTCAAGAATAAAATTACTTTTGTATGTACATTTAGTTAAAAACAAAAGGAGAGATAATTTCCTAATGCGAAACAGATAATAACTACAAACCGATTGGGCGTGCAGGACTTTGGTCACTTCTGCAAAGGCTGCAATCTGGGCAAGTAGATTCATAATATTCTAGAATTAAATGACAAACAACTGAATTAAATATAATTTTACGTAATATAAATAAATAAATACAAATGCTTAAATAATCTTTTAATAGCATGTATACAGAAAAATATGCATACAGTTCGTTTTCTCCATTTGGAAATAAAAAAATAAATGTGCTGTAAATGTTCCTTGTAAAAAAATGTTAATGAAATATTGTGTAAAGGGTCTGTAAATCAGTGAAATCATTAGATTTATCTGTGTTTCATCAATTAAATCTAAATTAATCCTCAGTAATAATGTTCATTAATAAAATACATATTTTCCAATTGGATGTAATGTTCAAGCTCCAGTTGTCACACATTGAAATTTGTTTGGATTTCTTAAGTGATTGATTCAATGATATACTTGAGTATTAAACTTTGCCAGTCTCTTTATATTAAATTTAACTATAGAGAAGAAAAAAAGAATAGTGGACAACAACTAGCCTATTATTTTAGTCAGTCTCTTTATTTTTAACTACATTTAACAATAGAAAAGAAAAAAGAATAGTAAGTGGACAACAACTATTATTTCTACTGACACAGCAAGTCTGGTAATAGATTATACCTTTCAGAAAGCTCTCCTGGTATTTAGTCACATCCATCCGTTTGGATTTGGAACAAGGAACTTTCGGTTTTTGGCAATCTTCAAATGGATGCAGATGTGGTTTGTCACGTTTACATTGATCACATGCGATAGCAAATTGGTAGTTCAGACCTTTCGCCCATATTGTACAGATGTCACCAAAACAATCTTTTAGTAACTGGTACACCTGTAGGATTTTAAAAAGTATAAAATGATATATCTATATTATATTTATATATAAGCCATAAAATGCAATTGTGTTGACTGGCCAAGAATGACTGGACCGTCGCTCAAGCCTATCGATGTACTTGTTTCGAACTGTCCTAATTTCTTTTGATACTAGTGTTTATATTGATATTGGTTTGAGTAATCATTTGTTGCTTTATACTTTTATGCTAGTCGCCGATGCTTTTTATATTGGGCCTTCAAAACGCATCTAAATTCATACACTTTGTGGCTGTTATGTAGAATCTCTATTGTATGATTTAAAAAACGCTAATTGGCCTGATTTTGCAAACATTCAGGACATTGCTGAGACCTAGATTTCCTTCTTTAAAAATGTTCTTAACAAGCATTACATAAATAAATTATTACAAGAGGTTTTTCTGTGTACAGCCTTAAAATTGCAGCTTCTGCTATTTCACAGTCCATTTCATTAATTTTTAATTATTGCACTGAACATGAGTTTTATCTTCAGAATGGAAAGCTGCTGCTGTTGTGCTCATTATTCGGAGGCCCCGCTTTGATTTAGATAATATTGCCCTATTTTAATTATGCCTGTCATTGCAAAAGTGCATGAACACGTTATTTATGTGTAAACCCTTGATTTTACTCAACAAGCACTCAATCCTTCCTAGGTGTCAATTTGGATTCCGCCCTGGACGTCTTGTCCAGGATCTTTTGGTAAAATTTGTCGATAAAGCTAAAATTTGCTATTGATAACAATAAAATAATGAGCCGATGGTTTGTGAAAAACTTTTCAGTCTCGGTAAATAATTACACATTAGAAAACAAATCATCTGCTAAGGTCCTGGGTGTTATTCTTGAAGACAAACTTAAATGCCAAGATCATGCGTATGAAGGCTTTGGCCTTAGGAGGTAACTATCCTACCCCAGGATGCATTCGGGTATGCAGGCTTCGGCCTTAGGATGTAAC